TAATTCAGGTGTGTGAATTCTGGATTTTGGAATAATTTAGGTGTGTGTATTCTGGATTTCCAAATAATTTAGGTGTGTGAATTCTGAATTTCTAAATAATTTAGGTGTGTGAGTTCTGGATTCCGGAATAATTTAGGTGTGTGTGTATTCTGGATTTCCAAATAATCTGTGTGAATTCTCCATTTCCAAATAATTTAGGAGTGTGGATTCTGGATTTCCAAATAATTTAGGTGTGTGAATTCTGGATTTCCAAATAATTTAGGTGTGTGAATTCTGGATTTCCAAATAATTTAGGTGTGTGAGTTCTGGATATCTGAATAATTTAGGTGTGTGGATTCTGGATTTCCAAATAATTTAGGTGTGTGATTTCTAGATGGACACGTGACACTTTGATTCCTAAATCAGGGCAGATAATTCGAAGATCACGGCGTCCTGTCCCCTCTCAGTCCCCAAAATCCCTCCCTACCCCGATTAAACCCGGCGTTGAGCCGCTCCCTTCCCTCCCTCACGCCGAGAGCTGCTGTTCCCCGGCAGGTTCGGTTCCTGGAGCAGCAGAACAAGGTGCTGGAGACCAAGTGGGGGCTCCTGCAGCAGTACGTGCTGCCCAAGAAGGGCAAGAACCTGGAGCTCTACTTCGAGAACTACATCTGCGACCTGCGCAAGCGCCTGGACTGCCTGCTCTGCGAGAAGCAGAAGCTGGGCAGCGAGGAGTGCGCCACGAGCCAGCTCGTCGAGGAGTTCAAGTGCAAGTAAGGGCTGCCCCGGCTCCTCTGCCTGTTCTAGGGGGTTTGGGGGCTGGAGCAGGGTCAGAGAAGGGCAGCGAGGCTGGGGAAGGGGCTGCAGAAGGGGCGGGGGAAGGGGCTGGAGCCAGCTCGTCGAGGAGTTCAAGTGCAAGTAAGGGCTGCCCCGGCTCCTCTGCCTGTTCTTGGGGGTCTGGGGCAGGGGTAGGGACAGAGAAGGGCAGCGAGGTTGGGGAAGGGGCTGGAGCCAGCTCGTCGAGGAGTTCAAGTGCAAGTAAGGGCTCCTGGGGTTCCTCTGCCTGTTCTAGGGGGTCTGGGGGCTGGGGCAGGGACAGAGAAGGGCAGCAGGGCTGGGGAAGGGGCTGGCGAAGGGGTTGGGGAAGGGACTGGAGCCAACTGGTGGAAGAGTCAAGTAAGGGCTCCCCCGGCTCCTCTGCCCATTCTTGGGGGTCGAGGGGCTGGAGCAGGGTCAGAGAAGGGCAGCAGGGCTGGGGAAGGGGCTGGGGGTGGAGGAATTCAAGGGCAAGTAAGGGCTTCCCTGGTTCCTCTGCCCGTTCTTGGGTGTTGAGGGGCAGCTGGTGGAGGAGTTCAAGTACAAGTGAGACCCTCTGGGGCTCCTCTGGCCGTTCTCAGGGGTCGAGGGGCTGGAGCAGGGACAGAGAAGGGCAGTGAGGCTGAGGAAGGGGCTGGGGAAGGGACTGGGGAAGGGGCTGGAGCCAGCTGGTGGAGGAGTTCAAGTGCAAATAAGGGCTCCTGGGGCTTCTCTGCCCGTTCTTGGATGTTAAGGGGCAGCTGGTGGAGGAGTTCAAGTGCAAGTGAAACCCTCCGGGGCTTCTCTGCCTGTTCTTGGGGATCCAGGGGCTGGAGAAGGGACAGAGAAGAGCAGCGAGGCTGGGGAAGGGGCTGGGGAAGGGGCTGGGGAAGGGGCTGGATGCCAGCTGGTTGAAGAAGTTCAATGTGCAATTAAGGGCTTGCCCCGGCTCCTCTGCCTGTTCTCGGGTGTCCCAGGGGCTGAAGGCAGGTGCCAGAGAAGAGCAGGCGAGGCTGGGAAGGGGCTGGGAAGGGGCTTGGGAGCACCAAATTCCCGTAGAGGAGAGGCTGAGGGAGCTGGGGGGGCTCAGCCTGGAGAGGAGGAGGCTCAGGGGAGACCTCCCCACTCTACAACTCCCTGCCAGGAGGGGGGAGCCGGGGGGGTCGGGCTCTGCTCCCAGGAACCAGCAGCAGCACAAGAGGGTCTCCAGCTGTGCCGGGGAGGTTTAGGTTGGATATTAGGAAGGAATTTCTTCCAGAGAGAGGGATCAGACACTGGAATGGGCTGCCCAGGGAGGGGGTGGAGTCACCCCGCCATTCCCTGGAAGGTGTTTAAGGTGAGACTGGAATGCCGGCATTCAGTGCACGGGCTGGGAACCGCGGCGGGGTTGGAGCGAGGCGTTGCACTCGATGGTAGCTCGGAGGTGTTTTCCTACCTGGCTGATTCCGAGAGCCTGTGATTCCGTGGTTTGTGTTTGTCCCCTCCCAGACGGGTGGCACGGCCCCTCGGGGGGTGACACGGCCCCTCTGGGGGTGGCACAGCCTCTCCGGGGGTATCACAGTCCCTCCGGGGTTGGCACAGCCCCTCGGGGGTGACACAGCCCCTCCGGGGGTGGCACGGCCCCTCTGGGGGTGACACAGCCTCTCCGGGGGTGGCACAGCCCCTCAGGAGTGGCACAGCCCCTCGGGGGGTGGCACAGGCTCTCCGGGGGTAGCACAGTCCCTCGGGGGGTGACACAGCCCCTCCAGGGGTAGCACAGTCCCTCGGGGGGGGCACAGGCCCCTCGGGGTGACACAGCCCTCGGGGGGTGGTCACGGCCCCTCTGGGGCTGGCACAGCCCCCTTCTTGGGGGTGACACACCCGGCGTCCAGCAGTTCGGTCATAGTTTCCTCGGCGGGTGGCACAGAGACACACCTCGCGCGGGTGGCAGCACCCCTCCAGGCAGTGGCACTCAGCGCTGCTTCTTCGGCATTTTACTGGCACAGTCCCTCCGGGGGTAGCACAGTCCCTCCAGGAATGGCACAGTCCCTCGGGGGTGGCACAGCCCCTCCGGGAGTGTCACAATCCCTCGGGGAGTGGCACAGCCCCTCCGGGACTGGCACGGCCCCTCAGGAGTGGCACAACCCCTCGGGGGTGGCACAGTCCCTCGGGGAGTGGCACATTCCTCGCCACAGCCCCTCAGGAGTGTCACAGTCCCTCGGGGGTGGCACAGCCCCTCTGGGTTGGCACATTCCTCGCCGTCTGCCCGCGGAGCTCTTTGCATTGGAAATGGGGTTGCTCATGAAGGAGCCTCTGATCTCGGGGTGGGTCAGTGTTGGGGCTCCAGACGCTGATCTGGCGGTGCCCGCTGGCACTGCCTGAGCAGGGAGAGCTTGTCATTTATACCCGCTGGTTGATGTCATTTGTACCCCAGGTTGTTGTCATTTACACCCGAAATTATTGCCATTTATACCTGAGATAATTATCATTTATACCCAAGGTTATTGCCATTTATACCTGAGATAATTATCATTTATACCTGAAGGTATTGCCATTTATACCTGAGATTATTGCCATTTATTCCTGAAGTTACTGACATTTATACCTGAGATTATTGCCATTTATGCCTGAGATTATTATCATTTATACCCGAAGTTATTGCCATTTATATCTGAGATTATTATCATTTATACCCTAATTTATTGTCATTTATACCTGAAGTTATTGCCATTTATACCTGAAGTTATTGTCCTCTATACCTGATGGCTGATGTAATTTATACCTGGTGGTTGTTGCCATTTATAGCTGAGATTATTGCCATTTATACCCGAGGTTTTGTCCATTATACCTGAGATTATTGCCATTTGTACCCCAAGTTATTGCCATTTATACCTGCTGGTTGGTACAGTTCACCCCGATGGTTGATGTTTCTCTGCCTGGGAGGTTTTTTTGCCTCAGCCCTTTTTCCTCCTCCCGTTCCAACAGGTACGAGGAGGAAATCAACCGGCGCACGACGGTGGAGAACGAGTTCGTGGCGCTCAAAAAGGTGAGAGGCTCCAAACCCGGGGGTCATTCCACCCGCTGGAGGTCGGTCTGGTACAAAACTCGGCAGAAACGGTGAATTATTAGTATAAAAAACACCAGAAGTGTTACGACAGCAGCTCCACAGCCGCGGATTTGTCACCCCGAACACGCTCCGGGAGCGGGACGGGAGGGGGTGTTTGAGGGAGGGGGACAGGGCAGGACAGGTCCCACCAGAACACCCGGTTCTTCCCGGCCTCCTCTCCACATCCTTTATTCTTGGACATCAGAAAGGCAGGAATCATCTGAAGAACATTAAAGAAAAGCCCTTTAAACCCTCCCCAGGTGGTGCCGGGTTTGCGGCCGCGTCCCGAGTGACAAACCAGCCAGTTCCTGTCGGTCGTGTCGGAATGGTTTGGTTTTCCTCCAGGAGACACCAGGACACCCTGACTCACCCCCTCGCACCTTTCTGCTCTTGGCATCCTGTTGGGACACGTTTCTGTCTCACTTTTGCTGCCTTCCGTGTGTTTTCTCCGGCGTTTCCAGCCAGGCTGGGGCTGGAATGTGCGTCCCTGCTCTCTTTCAGGATGCAGACTGCATCTTCCTCAACAAGGAGGAGCTGGAGGTGAAGGTGGATCTGTTGAGAAGGCAGCTGGAGCTGTTGAAATGTGTGTTTGAGGAGGTGAGTCCCTCTGGTCCGTCCCAGCAGTTTGGGGGTCCTGTCTCACCCTGCAAATTTGCGCTCCTGGAAACCCCTCTGGGACGTGTCTCATCCCAAGCCCGGAATAATTAAAAGCTTGGAAGTACAAGGCTGATCTGAAATTACCATGATTATGCTGGGAAAAGGGTGGTTCCCCCTCTCCTCCTGTAGCTCCAGGTAGGAACTGGCTCTGTCCTAACTCTGCCCCGGAGAAGAGATGCGTCCGTCTCGTTCCTCCGGCTCTCGGCTCCTGATTAGAGCTGAGGGAACTCCCGGCCCAGTCCTGTCATTAGCAGCCCTGGAGCAGCCGGAGATGACAGGATACCAAACTCCTGGCCCTTGATGTGGATGGGATTGCTCCAGGTCCTCAAAGTGGGTCAGCGGCGACGTGTGGCGACTCACCCAGCCCCGGGATTTTCTGCTGAGCCGTCCCCGGGGACACTCCAGGGCTTGCTCTCCATGTCCCGGCCCTTTGCCTGCCTTGCAAAGTCAGGTTCTGGGAGCTGACTAAGCCCTTCCCCGCCCGCAGGAACGAGCTCAGGTGGATCGGCAGCTCTGCGACACCTCGGTCATCGTCAAGATGGACAACAACCGGGACCTGGACATGGAGAGCATCATCAAGAACGTGGAGTGCTGGTACCAGGAGATCGCCCAGAAGAGCAAAGAAGAAGTCGACGCTTTCTACCAAACCAGGGTAGGCCTGGCAGACCCTCCTGGGCCTCTGCACAGCGATGCCCCCGGCCCAAAAATGACAACTGCCTCGTTTTCTGGTCCCAGTTTCAGGAGCTCCAGGACAAGAGGGGGAAATACTGTGACGACCTGCAGAGCAACAAGTGTGAGATCTCAGAGCTGACCAGGATGATACAGAAGCTGCAGTGTGAGCTGGAGAGTGTCAAGAAGCAGGTAGGAGAGGGGATGAGCCCAGGGAGGTTGGACAGCTCAGGTATCAGGAAAGGTGGTCACTGTCCTTTAGGAGGTCAAGAAGCAGCAGGAGAGGCCCAAGGTGATGATCCCAGAGAGGTTGGACAGCTCAGGTATGGGGAAAGGTGACACACTACCCTAAAGGAGTCAAGAAGCAGCAGGAGAGGCCCAAGGTGATGATCCCAGGGAGGTTGCACAGCTCAGATACAGGAGAAGGTGGCACACTGCCCTTTAGGAGTTAAGAAGCAGCAGGAGAGGCCCAAGGTGATGATCCCAGGGAGGTTGCACAGCTCAGGTATGGGGAAAGGTGACACACTGCCCTAAAGGAGTCAAGAAGCAGCAGGACAGACCCAAGGTGATGATCCCAGAGAGGTTGCACAGCTCAGATACAGGAGAAGGTGACACACTGTCCTTTAGGAGGTCAAGAAGCAGCAGGAGAGGCCCAAGGTGATGATCCCAGGGTGGTTGCACAGCTCAGACCCGCTGGATCAGCCTTTGGGAGACTTCAGACCTGCTCCAGGCCGTGGTTGGAAAGGGAAGGGGGGGCAGAGGGGCGGGAGGCCGGCGGGTTTTCTCTGTCTGCAGTTTGGATTCATCCCAACCCGGGGTGTCCAGGAATGAGGAAGCAAAGCCCTGTAGACCCTGCAGTGTCGTCCTCCCCTCTCCACCAGGTCTCCTGCCTGCAAACCTCCATCTGTGACGTGGAGCAGCGCGGGGACTGCGCCCTCAAGGACGCGCGCGAGAAGCACATCGAGCTGCAGAACGCGCTGCAGAAGGCCAAGGACGAGCTGGCCTGCATGCTCAGGGACTACCAGGAGCTGCTCAACGTCAAGCTGGCCCTGGACATCGAGATTGCCACCTACAAGACCCTCCTGGAGGGTGAGGAGAGCAGGTGGGTGACACGGCTCTGTCCTTTCCGTCCGTCGGAGGCCGCGGTGGTTCCAGGTCCCGAGTGGATTTTACAGCTCCAGGGGCTTCCCAGGCTCGCAGGAACTGGGGCTGGAGGCCTTGGAGACCACACCTGGCTGCCAGCAAACCCCAGCTCCTGTGCCAGGGGCGTCAGATTGGGTCACAACGAGGGGGGATGGCTGGGTGCTGGGGCTGGAAGCTCTGGGTAACCTGCACTTCTCATTTCTCTTCTCTCCCCCGACAGGATCTGTGTGGGGAACCCTGTGAGTGTGTGTAAGTACCCGCAGGATTTCCAGCCCTCAGGGTTTATCTTAGGAAAGGCAATTTTGGGAGCAGCACGGTCCGTCTGCCCCCTCCCTCTGCCTCCCTTTGCCACCCTCGGGAAGGTTTAACCCCAGAAATCTCAAATATCGCCAAATTTAAAAAAAAAAATAATCAGCTTTTGGACGGAGGGGGGAGGTGAAATTCATGCCCCTTTTCTACTGTCCGAGGCAACAGTGAGATGTCCGGGCCATGCACTGGACCCGGGAGGGAACGAGGCAGCAGCCAGAGCAGACCCGTGGGAAGGGGGAGGGTCCTCGGGACTGGGGAGGGTCTGTGGGACCGGGAGGGTCTGCGGGAACGGGAAGGGTCTGCGGGAATTGGGAGGGTCTGCGGGACCGGGGAGGGTCTGTGAGACTAGAGAGGGTCTGCGGGAATGGGGAGGGTCTGCGGGAACGAGGAGAGTCTGTGGGACCGGGGAGGGTCTGTGGGAACGGGAAGGGTCTGTGGGACCGAGGAGGGTCTGTGGGACCGAGGAGGGTCTGTGGGACCGGGGAGGATCTGCGGGACCGGGGAGGGTCTGTAGGAACGGGAAGGGTCTGCGGGAATGGGGAGGGTCTGAAGGAACGGAGAGGGTCTGTAGGAACGGGAAGGGTTTGTGGGACCGAGGAGGGTCCGTGGGACCGAGGAGGGTCTGCGGGAACGGGGAGGATCTGCGGGAACGGGGAGGGTCTGTGGGACCAGGAGGGTCTGTGAGACTAGGGAGGGTCTGCGGGACCGAGGAGGGTCTGTGGGAACGAGGAGGGTCTGTGGGACCGGGAAGGGTCTGTGGGAACGAGGAGGGTCTGCGGGGGGACGTGTCGGGACACGGGGAAGGGTCTATGGGAAGGAGGGAGGGGGGTCTCGGGCACGCGGGACAACCCCCCTGGAAATCAGGCCGGGTGGGTTCCGTCACCCGGGACAGAACTCGCCCGGGGAAATTGCCTCCTCGTGGAAGCCGGGCCGGGGGGGATGCCGCGGGGGGCCCTTCCAGCTCGGGGGCGTTCTGTGTTTCCTGTGTTTTTTTCCCCCCTAACCGACGCCCCCCGGGCTGTGTTTCAGCGGTGCGTCAGCAGCAGCGGGTACCCCCTCCCGGGACGACTGCGGGCTTGCTGGCGGCCAACGGGCTGCCTGTGCGGCGTTCGGCTCGCTGGGGGCCGGCCGCTCGGGTCGCCACAGCTCCCCCGGCGCAGGGGCGGCTTCAGCCCCCGCCAGGCCGGATCCACCCCAGCGCGTCCTTGAGCTAAGGTGGCAAGCCCTGCCAGGTTTGCCCCCGGAGGTGTTCTGCCCCCCCGGCGGGTGGGCTGCAAGGCGGGGGGCGCTCCCGGGAGCGGGGGTACCCGGCCCGCCCGGGCTCGGCGCCAGGGTGGGGGGCGTGCAGGTCCGCGGGCGGGTGGTCGCCTTCGTCAACCTGGGCTGCGTCATCCGGCAGCTGGCCCGGGGCCCCCCGTGGTCGTGTCCGGCGGCCGCCGAGGGTCGTGGGGTGGCAAAACCCGGCGTCGGTGGGGAACTTCCGGCGCTTGGTTCAGAGACCCCTGGCGTTGCGTCCGGTAGGGCCGCCCTGGGGTGGGGGGCTGGCGGGGCCCCCCTCGCCGGGGGGCTGGAAGCCGCCGTTCCCCACACCGGGATGAGGCGGGACGAGGCGGGATGAGGCGGGATGAGTCCCCCCCCCCAACATTCCCGCTTGTCCGGCGATGCCAACCCATTTCCCACATTTATTAAACACCCCTCGCCCCCTCCAGCCCGTTTCAGAGGCCCCCCCCGTTGGACCCCCGGACACCTCTAGAAGGCTTCTCCCACCTCAGTCTTGTCTCTGAGTTCACACTGTAGGTCATCACAGCTTTAATGGGTTTGCTCGTGGCGCTGCTTCCCCCTCCGGCTTCTCCCAGGTTAATTAACAACATTCCTCCTTCCAAGACATCCCTTTTTTCCCCTTCCAGCTCCTCCCAAAGCATTTCAGAAAAGCGAGAGAGGATTTAACCATTTAACTTTCCCAGCAGACACTGTAAAGCGCAGACTCCCTTTATTTTTATTCTTTTGTTCGTTTGTTTTGTTTTTCTTTTTTTTTTTTTGGTCCAAAAAACCCCTGAGCCGCGAAATTTAAGCTTAAATCCGAAAGGAGGCGATCCCAAAGCACCTCCCGGTTCCTCCGGAGCTTTATTTGTCGCGTGGAATTACGGGCGGACACGCGGTGCCTCCGCTGCTTCTGCATGTTTAGGGGTGGCTGGTTCAGGGCGTGCTGATTTTTGGCAGAGATCAAACCCCCCCCTTTCCCTTTTCCCTCCCCCCGGAATGCCGAGGGAAGGTCCCGGTGCACGAATCCCGTTGTACTCCCACGGACGGAGCCGCTTCCCATCGGCTGCTCCGACTTCCCTCTCAATAAACTGCATCCAAAGGACGCGTTTGGTCTCGGCTTTTCCGTGTCTTTAAAGAAGCTGCAAAAGAGGTGAAAAAACGCCCTGGGGGAGGGGGAGGAGGAACCAAAGAGACCTCTGGGTTCTCCCCGGGCAGTTCGGGGCACGGGGGGACTCGGCCGGGGAGAGTCGATGGAGTTTATTCTGGTTTGTTTATTTATTTATTCTGGTTTATTTATTTACTCACCTCCTCATATCACACCCCATCAGGCATTTTATTTATTTTCCTCCTGAAATCACACCCCCCCATCAGGTATTTTATTTGTTCACCTCCTCACATCGCACCCCCCATAATAAAATACTGGTTTGTTTATTTATTTATTCACCTCCTCACATCACACACCCCATCAGGTATTTTATTCTGGTTTATTTATTTATTCACGTCCTCACATCACACCCCCCATCAGGTATTTTTTTTATTCACCTCCTCACATCACCCCCCCATCAGGTATTTTATTCTGGTTAATTTATTTATTTCTCTCCTCACATCACACCCCCCATCAGGTATTTTATTCTGGTTAATTTATTTATTTCTCTCCTCACATCACACCCCCCATCAGGTATTTTATTCTGGTTAATTTATTTATTTCTCTCCTCACATCACACCCCCCATCAGGTATTTTATTTATTCACCTCCTCACATCACCCCCCCATCAGGTATTTTATTCTGATTAATTTATTTATTCACCTCCTCACATCACACCCCCCATCAGGTATTTTTTAGCCTAATTAACAACCAAAGATCGTCAGAAGCCTCCAAAATAACCCCGAGCACCACAAGGGGATGTTTTCCAGCCTCTGCCTCCATTCCTGGTCAGGAACCTCCGGGAACGTGGATCCTTCCCCAGTGTGGATCCTTCCCCAACGTGGATCCTTCCCTGTCCCCAATGTGGATCCTTCCCCCGTGTGGATCCTTCCCCCGTGTGGATCCTTCCCCAACGTGGATCCTTCCCCAACGTGGATCCTTCCCCAGTGTGGATCCTTCCCCAGTGTGGATCCTTCCCCAGCGTGGATCCTTCCCCAGTGTGGATCCTTCCCCAGCGTGGATCCTTCCTCAGCGTGGACCCTTCCCTGTCCCCAATGTGGATCCTTCCCCAATGTGGATCCTTCCCCAATGTGGATCCTTCCCCAACGTGGATCCTTCCCTGTC